ATAATATTTACTTTTGTTTAATATGGAATAATTTTCTATTTATTAGTATGTACAATTTGCTGTTTTTCTGTGCCAATTTCAACAATTGTTTATTCTTTTTTCTTCTGAAAACGGTAATGAGAGACTGAAAGAGCAAGTCAGTTAGCGGGGAAGTTGTTATCTATGTTTTAATCTACTAGTTTCAAGTGACAGCAGGAAAAAAAAAGTTCGATCCTTTGTGATTTCAAGGGATTCTCTGATCTTTGTTTTTTTTTTTTAAAAAAACTTCATGTATATACTGTATAACTATGCGTACGTTGAGTATACAGTAGTAGTTGCTTGGATTTTAATTCACCTTGAAAAGAATCAAAGGGAAAGAAAGGAATGATTGTTCAATTTTATACTGAATTTTATAAAGCCAAAAACAGAAATAACTAACTGTAATTGTGTATTGTGATAAGATATATTTAATATTGTATTGAAAATGGTAACTAATTATTATTATTATTATTTTTTGTTCATAATTGGCAATTCTTTCCTTTTTCAGCCTAAAAAAAACGTTGAAAAGAATTCATATGAACCTAATAACAAGATATTATTCAGTTTGATATTAATAAAAGAGTTCTTAATGATAACAATGATTAGTAATGACAGAATGAATACTTTTCATATGATCCTTATCTTTTGTTTTGATTGTGTGTCTATGTGTTTATAAATTTCTGGATCTTTATTTGTTAGTGTTTGACAATGGATTATTTCGATTGATAAATATTTGTGATGATAGATGGATTCTATGCGGTAAATTTTTCGATGTTTATACTTGAGTTTATTCATTAAAAATAAACTCAGTTATCTATCCAATGCACAAAATTAACAAGGTTCTCAGCCAATTATAGTTATTTTTCATCTTCAATTATTCTTTCTAGATGATTTTGAACAACATCAATGTTTCAAAAACAGTTAAACTGTTCAATATCATTATAGACCTTCTATGAAAAGCATTCAGATTTCTCAATAGATTCGTGTATTCAGTTTTGAATTACACTTTACGTAAGGTCTAATGATTCTTTTTGGTTACACGAACCAATGTAGACGAATCAAGACTCAGGCCTGAAAGTCAAATGCTTTAGTCAATAAGGTCTACCAAATTACAAATGGTCACATAACATATTCTAAGGTACTTTCATCTATTTCTATTTTGACACTCAGTTAGGTGGTATGCAACACAAGATACACAAAAAAACATTTTTTAACCGAATGTAAAATAAATAAATACATACTCTCGATGGTTGAGATCATGAGTCAATTGAAGCTAGACCACCATGGAAAACCTGGAAGCACTGGACGGCCTTTTCGTCCTGTTGTGGAACTCAGCATTGCGCACACACGATCTCACCTCACAAGATTCTAACCCAGGACCTATCAGTCTCGTGCGCAAGCACTTAACCACTAGACCACTGAGCCGGTATCCGACGGTGTTAATGTCTAACTTCAACCAATTCACAAAATTTAGCGACACATCCACCAATGTCTTCAGTGAGTTACTATCTCACAACAGATCTGGTTGAACTCCACTGGTCACTGCCGTCCAGTGCTTCCAGGTTTTCCATGGGGGTCTAGCTTCAATTGACTCATGATCTCAACCATTGAAATTACTATAATATTCACAAAACCCTTCTGATGTAAATCTATACTTGTTCAGTGATTATATTTTAAATTACTAATGCGACTTTTCTTTTCTGTAGCCATTTTGTCTAACTTTACACTCAATCATCCTAATCACATATATGCGTTTGCTTTGAAAATGATAGGATTTACTTTTTTTCCGTAACAGTATTATGGTTATCGTTTCTATCTTAACATTTGATTGGAAATAAAATTTCAATCATTGAGATCATAAGTCGATTGAAACTAGACCACCATGAAATACCTGGAAGCACTAGACGGCAGTGACCAGTGGAGTTCAACCAGGTGTGTTGTGAGATAACTCACTGATAACAATGGTGGATGTGTCGCTCAATTTCGTGGATTAGTTGAAGTTAGACATTAACACCGTCGGATACTGGCATTGGATGTCCAGCTTCAATTGACTCATGATCTCAACTACTGAAATTACCATAATATCCACAAAAACCCCTCCTGATATGAAAATAAAATGTTTATAGTTCTGGAATATTGAAAATCTATTTCATTCAGTGATATGGTAACATTTTATTTGAATTCATGAATTCATGTGTTTTTTTTTATTATAATGCTAGGCAATTTATGTAATGAATCTTGTGCATAAATTAACTATTTTTCTTTTCATGTGATTAGAGATTATTCGAAGGTTAGACTATTTCAATCATGTCTTTTATATATTCATATAATTATAAAGCATTGTTTGATTTTTATGCCTTATTCCAATCATAGTTTTTTTATTGTTTAGTTTTATTCCACCTGAACATGATATTATAGTATAGGAGTTGTAAGATCAGTTGGATGTAGAATTGTGCTCACCTCAATATCTGGAGATTTTCAGTTTAGTTCTTAGTGGGTTTAATACTTTCAAGCTGAAAATCAAGTTAAAGTAATTATCTAATGCTCCCAGGTTTTCATTAGTTCTACAGCTTTATATAAATCCTCTACGTTGATATACTAAACGATATTTCATAAACGCGAATGTATAGTGTGATAACGTAGTAGTCAAATTATTCTAATTAATATCTCTTGATCACGGGTCTTAACTTTGTTTCCATTACTTCGGTTTGTGCTAATCGATCTCATACATAACGTATAGTCATGTACATAAATCTTTACTTAACAGTAAATGAGTTACATCCCATATATGGTTTAGCAGCGAGAGCTCAAGTTTTTGGTCTAATCTTCTATCTGGATATATATACGCACTTCTGTGGAGTCATACTACGCAAGAATCATTCGATTTGTCCTGCAGCATTCATGCGTGTATTTAAGTAATATGTAATATACTTCTACCTTCTTTTATTCTTCAACAAATGGATTTCCGGGTATTATTTATTTGACCTATTATTTTTTGCTATGTGTAAGAGACGAGATCGAACACCATAGGGAAAATTAGTGGGAATACGATAAATAACTTAAATGACTTATTTCTGTCCACTTCATGACCACTATCGATTAAGTGTGAAAGAACTGAGCTGCGTATTGTCTTTACGTAACCTTTTCCTAACCACGATGGGAGGTGTTCACTAACTCTTTGGTTCAGTTGCCTGGTTGTGCGCCCAATATAGCTTTTCAAAATATCATCGATCTGTTATTGAACTCAACTCTGTTTTCAGGCCTACAGTAATTTGAATAAAAAATTAGAGTACAAATTTATTGAGTCATTAATAAATACCTAATTAATTATAGAAGTAACTAGACAAATTTCACAGTGCATTATTTCATTTATTTTTTCAGAAGTGTGCAAGAATTCAAGGTGTGTAAAACTAGACAAAGGTTGATTCTTTTTTGTTGTTCTTCGATTTGGGCAACCGTATATTATTGATAACATTCCAACAAACAGTCTAGTTCAAAGCGGAGTGCATAAACTTGTTCACTGCGAATAAATTACACCATTAATTTTATTTATTAAATTAACATAATAAGGTTTTTTGGTTAATCCCTTTTCAATCATTCTGCGTATTGTGAAACATTAAGGTTTAAATCATAGATTGCGTTATTTCACCATTGAAAACCTCTCTTTAGAATTTAGTACTCCGTTTAACACCTCAGTGGAACTTTTAATCCTTTTCGATCAAGCTAGGATTACTTCTTTATAACCGTACTATATTGGTATGTACACATATATCTTCAGTGACATAGAAATCAATTTTACTTCAATAACGATCCCACGTATCTGCTACTCAGTTTTCTAAACATGGAGATCACATGACTTCAGTAATATCTGTTGTCACAAATAACAAACTTCTCATCAATATTTGTTACCAAATTGAATTGTTAATTGCAATAGTAGCATTTATATTATGATTTAGTAAACACTATTTTGACCTTAAGTTTATTGTGTATGTGTTACCACGTATTTGAGTGATTGCCTAATCAATTTAGCACATATTTATATAATTACATATCGTTATTTTTTTATTTTGAGCAATAATCTGAATTGGTTGACAACTATGATTTATTCTGAGTGTCCTAATACTCGAGTTAAAATAATTATTGTCATTTTTTATGGGTTTTGATCGTACCTTATTTGTTAATTCATATCACCGCAACTTAATCGATAAGGTTCTTCACCACATTAGGCATATATGATATTGATCATTACTAACAGGTTAGTCAATGTAAATATCTCAATCTCACAAGAGGTCATTTGCGATCCTAACATCTTTATGGTAACGTATCCGACTCAGAAGTTGGTTGATCGAGGTCTGAATCAGATAGAGAGGACAAGTTCTCTCAAGATTGCAGACATGCCTCACGAGTACCAGGGTTTCTTGCCGACCACTTCTAATTCTACCTAACAACTTATATCAATCTGTTATTAGTTAACATCATAAAGTCAATCACTAAATTAAACACTTATACCATCACCAGACGATTTAACTAGAGAGCAATGTCGATCGATTCAAATATGTCTAACCGATTAGTAGCAAAAGTTTAAATACTTATTCTCTTATTACGGTATGGAATGACTTCACCAAATTGTTCACATCTGTGAGTTCATGACGCGTTTGCACAACAAAAGATAAGTGTTCGGTATTGTTGTACCTTGATCCTATCGGTTGAAAAGTCCTAGAGATCATGGATTTCATTGTCTTGTGTTGTTATTGGTCATAGTTTACAGTGGAAGCCAGTGTAATTTTCTAATACATTCTTCATAAAACGTTGGATAAACACTCCAATATAACAGAAATCTCTCTTGATTGTATGTCTCAAATCACATTTATGATTCATTGCCTGTATACACATGTTTCTAATAAACTTAAATATTAGACTTCAGTAAATATGTAATACAGAAATGGTTTATTCTTCATTGGATTTGATAGAATAAAAGCTATTCTGTTTGGACTGGTGAAATCGAAATGTTTGTCACTTAAACATTAAAATCAGAAAATTCAGGAAATGCTAATCAGCTATGTAAATCTCATGATTGTGCCAATAAATAGAATCATTCATTCATGGTTCATAAATTATTTGGATATGATATTTTGAACAGAACTGAAGACGTACTAATAACTTGTATTGAACTAATTTCTATTGGCTTTGAGGAATACTATTTTTATCGACATAGTAGCTGAACTTTCATTCTTTATAGCTAAGTCTGTTTTTTTGAACATTTCAAATAACGTACTGATTGTACTTAGCCATAAAAGCTCAAGAAATACTGGTCATCTAATTCGTCTTAGTATAGAACTCCTGCGAAATATTCATCCACAACCCTATCAGGTACCGATCTTAAGTCTTTCAAGTCTTATAACCGAACACCTAACCTACAAACCACTGAGAGGGGATACATTTATTTGCATTTCCAACTCCAGTTAATTCTTAACGTGTTATTTATTAGAAGCTAAGCAACCGAAGATTATATGTTTTTGTGTAAGGCATCACATCGCTGTTTTTATTTTGACCAGTTTAACTTCCGATGATCTCAGATCATAATTATCTTTAATGTATTAACAAAGTTTTCATGAAATCAAGTTGCTTCATTATTATCGCGTACCTATTGATAGCTAGTTTCAAGATGAATTTCACGAAATTGCAATAAATAGCCATTTTACCCGTCACAATCAAGAGATTTGGGAAAACTAGATGGTATTAACGCATTGACCATAATGGATAGTGATCGTTGATGAAGTTGAACATCTGGATCATGGAATTCAAATTCAGTTGCTTAATGCTATCTTTATCAACATGAGATTTTCATGTTCGATTTCATACAAGGTCTTCGGTTGATATTTTATATTTCCCTGCGTGCCGTCATTCATGTTGTTTATCCCTTTAGATTGATCAAATTTTAATTTGAACGTCACCACTCAGAATAACTTGATATCACATTGTATTATGCTTGATCGTAAATAGTTACCGGGGGGACGGGGATGACATTAAGTAACAGATTATCTGATAGAGGTCGGTACTCAATGATTGGTTGTTAAAATATACTTGTATTTACTTAAGCATAAATTGACCCACTATTATTCGATGTGGTAACTCTTAAAGCATCTTAAGTGTAAGTCTTTTATTATAAGTGTTTTTTCTCCTAATATTTCCTCTTGGATCTTTCTCTGATACCTATTTTAAAATGACTTATTCATACCTGTCTTTTATTAATATTATTCCTTTAAGATAAACTAACTAAATGGAGGTATTTCTAGGTCGCTCGAAAGTGAAAAATCCCATGCAATTACCACAGTCAACATTATCGGGTAGTAATAGTAATAGCAGTAGTACTTTACCATTTCCAATATTGTTTAAAGAAGATTTCACGAAATTCAATTCTGATCATGATGATAACAATAATGATGGTATAAACAGTTGTGAACAGTTTACATTTCAAGCGGTTTTATTAAATGGTGCTAAGGCATTAATCACTGATTTGGAACAAATCAAGATACTTCGAAAAAGAGTAAGTACTTTTTATACAAAATCATATTGTCTTGTATGCAGTTTTACTATGACTATCTTTTACTTATACACGCCTGGTGCATCATGGATAAATGCGATTCGTGAATGTTTTCTGGTCTCCATATTATTGTCATACTCACGAGCAGTTAATGATTTATAATATCAGTGAGGCATAGATATTTTTGATTTTGTTTAGTAGAGTACATTTCATCTTTGACTACTACTATTCTGGCATTTCTGACAATTTCATCCACTGTATTAATGTAGCATGTCAACCCGAACCGATACACATGTATGTTCGGTCCTGGGCTTTTTTATGACTGAGAAACTGTTACCAACTGAATAATCATTGAATATAATGACGCACACTGCAAAAGTTTGACAGTTCTTAGAAGTAAGCACTGAAGATTTTTCCTACGAATGGAATTCAAGCCCAGTGGTGTTACATATAGTATCTTTAGATAGAGCTCTCCAGGCGGTTCAAAACCCTCATTTATTATTGTTATTATGGGGCCCCCAAATGTCCTGGTACGGTCGAAGGTTAGGAGAGTCAGCTCTCCCTCTCAAAATGTTCTCACAAAGCCACGCGTATATAGCCAGTACCACGGAAGTTCTACCCACTGGCTTCGCGTGGTGGTGGTGCTATTTATGAAATTAAGAGAACGAAAAGCGAATGTCCGGAGCTTTAACTAGGTTGGTGGATATGACGAATCAGCCACGAGGAGTTGAAAACTTTGATTCCAAACAAATGGTGCACATGTGCTTCCGAATCCTGAGGGAAGAAAATGCTTGTGTTCATATTGTTGGTCACCGTTTACCATGGGACTGCATCTCCTAATGTTGCTCCACTACCCTGTGGATTAGACCTCTAGGTCAAAGGCTCGGGTAGTGGCCGCCTAAGCAAACCATGTGCTTTGGTTTGGGCACCTGGACAGTATTCCAGACCTCACACAAATCGAATGATTCGTGTGTCACATATATATTTGGTGCCTCCTTATACCACTGTTTGTGTTTAACTAAGTAAGATAAAATTGTTGGTTTGTGCGCTGTTTGTTAGGTCCTGAAATGAAGCAAACGAACTTGCCAGTATTTCATGATTTTTCGATAACTTCTCTATATCAGTTTGTGATATCATCATCGTTCTACTTATTGATACTAAACCAATAAATAGGATTTTTGTATTTATTTCAATACATTTTTATTAGAATCATAATTACGGTTCGGAAATGGACAGGTTAGTTAGACAAGGATTTATTTACTTACAAAGAAATTCTTGTCACAATTCACTGTACTGATGAATAAGATTCGTTTTGGAAATAATCATTCTGAACTCTAAGTTATGGGGTTGCTGGAGGCTGTTGAGTATGACAGTTCATATTATGGATTGATTTTAGAGTTAAACAATTACTTATATCAAGGAAGGGCTGGATTATTGCCTCGTCCTGGTGTGAAATATCTCAGCATTGTGTGCATCCACAGCATTACTGAGGCCAGATCTTACCGCCTTCAAGTCTTGACCATTGAATTGGTATCCAATAGTTTACATTTATAACTGCAATCATTCATGTAATATTGCACAAACATGTTTTAATACCGTTTGTGAGTAACTGCTTCATTCTTGACATCATCGAACTGATCGCTTCGTCTTATTAAAACTCAAAGAACGCCCTCTTGAAGTTAGTCACTAATGCATACATGATCATTACCAGTATTATTCTTTGAAAATAACTAGTTAATGACCTCGTGTTTGTTATCAAGATTCCTAGTTATTATTGATCATCAGGTATTCAGTTGTATAGAGGTGTTAATTAATTGCAGGATAATCATGAATATAACGTGATATTCTGCATCGTGAAAGTTTTTTTCTCATCTGATTATTGGTTACTCAATAATAATATTTAACTAGTATGTTCCCCATTTGTTTCTCTTTAACTCAACTTACTACCACTATTATTATTATTACTAATAATAATAAGAATGCGAATGAACGATTCTGATCACTTTTGTACTCTTCGTTGTAATTTTTGTCTTCCATGGAGATGCATGAATATTTGTGATAAAATACAGCATTTGATTTTGGAAAAAAACTATTTTTTAAAATTATGAATACAATTTGATTTTGAATTATTTTTTTTAAGTGGATTTAAATGTCCAATGACAAAATCAGTCAGTAACAACGTGGAACTTCGTACATACGTACATCACTTCGAGTTGCCATACCACATTAGCACAGAGATCCAGTTATCGATTCAAATCCCGTAGTGGTAGAGGTAGTGAAAGTATAAGTAGTGATAGGGAACATTAAGGTTTGATGATGTTATTTAAGGAGTATAATCCAGTGTAATAGATTTAGAAAGAAAATAAAGGACATGAAGAATTCAGAAGATTAGAGTTTGAGAGTACACAGAGTGGATGCACCTGCGCCATTGCAAACGATTTTTCGCCATGTCATTCAAGGTCTCTAACCATCGGTTGCTATCATCTCGCGGTCCCCAACCAGGTAGTCTACACCTACTAACATGGCTCAGTCCACTTGTCAGTGACTTCATGGATTTGTGCCATGTTTTGGTCTGGTCACCCCTAGCTTTCTTCCAACCTACTCCTACAAATGAAAAAATAATGATGGAATTATTTACACGAAGACTATTTCTGTTATATTTGGACGAAGAATAAGTGAATGGTAACCGCTAGGATCGGTTTATGGACTACTATCATATATATTCTTATTGTATAACTAAACAATAAATATATTATATATTTATTGATATTCCTTTTGTTATAAGCTTTTATCTGACCTATTGACTTCTAGAGAAGTGATGTTGGAGGTATGAGGGCAGTTATCACTTCCCGGTTACCCACACCGTGGAAGGGTTTCTTTGGAGGTTCCTGAAAATGAAATTGGACTAAAGGTGGTCTTAGAGACTTGAGAGCGTGACCGCAGTGCCCAACGGACAACTGCTTGAGGTCGGTCACACACAACTTTTTTGGGTAATTTTCGTTTTAGCCCCGTACTTGTTGAGACCCTACCGCCAGAGACGGATACCCGTGGGATAAGGCGAGGTGTGCATTTTTAAGGTCGACCTTTTCTAACCCCACCCCTCCTCGTGGAAAGACAGCATCGCTGTTATGCTGGTTCTCTGAAGGAAACACCTTACTTCCACCACACCTCTGTACAGTTAGCAGAACGACTTCGCCCTCAGACCTTGGGTTTGCTGCCTTTAATCTTACTGCTCTTCAACCGACCTGTCTGGCATGGTAGGACCTTGAGGAACGATTTTTCCAGCCAGTATAGTTCGATTGGTTCATCACGATAGGCGAGCCCGACCACCACTTCAAGGTAGCAACAACGGTCGGAGACTATTATTATACGATTTACTATTCTTAAGTTGTGCCCAATCTATTAGTTACAGTCTCACAATCACAGACACTTTTGGGCTTGAGCTTGTGTAGTTGTTATTTTTTATTTTATGATACAATACAGTCTCGTTAGTTTGTATTATACACCTAGTATGTCTGAAATATATGATTCATATAAAGGAGACTGATATTGGCATTCTGGACTGAACCGTCTCGGTTAGTTAAGAAGCTGTTATCTCGGTGGGCCGATATGAGCTCAGAGTTGACTCTGGACTCCTCGTTCTCATTTATACGTCATTGATCTGGTCAATAAGTCAGCGTTCTAATTGACGTTTTAGTCACGTGATGTATTAACCAGGGCACAAGAATGTAACAATGTCTAAAATAGAAATAAAGATATTTCTATCTCACTGATTAATAGTTTTTAAGTATAATCACTATTAATATTCGTTTTTTGTCATTAGCCAGATATAGTATGATTTTCATTTTCAGAATGGTATTTTCAAGTGCTTTTTCTTTTTAATATTTTCTTTGTTTTTTTTTTTGGATAGTCATCATTCGTAAAACTATCTTTATCAAATAAATCCTGATTAACTTCATAATTGTACGTTAAAAGTGAACTTTTCAATGGTAGCATAGATTGAGTATAATTCTATGAATAAGGTACGCTCACTTCCTATCCATTATTTATAAGGTATACAAGAATACAATGAGATAGCATTAAACTAAACAAGATTGTGACGAATAATTCATCATTTGATTATTTCTTTGCCAGTGAGAGTGATGGGTTGGCGTTGTTTAAGCGAAGTCGACAACCGATATCAGTCGGTATCTCATCTAATTATCTATAAAACTTTCCATCAACCTTTTACATTGACCTAGCTATTGGCTAAATTGCAACATTCATTCATATGGGATATCATATGCATTATTTATTTAGTTAATAGACGAATATAACTGTTCTCTAATCAAAGAGTATTAGTAAATAACAGAATGTAAAAATTTTCATTATTAATTTATTTGAATCATTCATCATTTATTTTCATATCAGTTGATTTAGCAGTTCTTCAGTCATATTTACCTTTATGGAATAGTTGATTACAATTAGAGGGAACTAAGCAGAGTTACATTTATAAACTCGAATTATCTCACTTTACACTTAATATTTCTAAGGTTTCATAGTATTCATTATTTCAATACCATTCTGTATAACGTAATGTGTTACTTTTCAGTGATAGACAGATTTAATTTCAAAGTATATTACTTACAGTTCAACATATAGTTTTATTTGTGATCAGGAAGTTGGCCTAACCAGTAAATTACTTTATCGATTTTCGATAGCTATCTGTTATTGAATACTCATCTATCTTTACATTCCTTGCACAATACCGCTTCTCTACAGTCGCACTTAAATAGGTTACTGAAACAATCCTCTGTCCAGGAGATACGTTATTATATCATCTTTGAAATTAGCAACGATTTGTTCGATAAACATCATTTAGCATTCAGTGTTTGGCATGTTGGAGATATATTGTAACCTGAGAGATTGTTCACAACAACGTATTTGAAAGGATCTTTTAGGGAGCATAACGCGCTAAATGATGAATTGACAACTCAATAAGCCTATGTGATACATGATAATTATCAGTAGTAATGCAATCATAAGATTGGGACAATCTGTTAGTCGAATTGATAGGGTACAGTTTTGAACTAATTTCTCACGTCTCATTCATATAAACACCATGATCCTGAAACCTTTCTTTTGTATCTGATTTATTCTTTCACTTTACTCATTCTAACAATTGAATTCAGTTCATTATGAAAACCAAATTAAAATTAATTTGATATTCACAGGTTATCATGTTTTTAAAATAATATCTTGCGCGCAAGACCGAAGGTCCTGGGTTCAAATCCCATAAGCAGAATCAAGGATGCTTATTACTGAGAAGTCCTATACTAGGATGAAACGGCCATCCAATACTTCCAGATTTTCCATGATGATCTAGCTTTAATTAGCTCATAAACTCAACTATTAAATTACTACAATCTTCATAAAACCCCTTTCTATAAATAACACTTCATTAAAAAGTCTTTAAACAAGTGGATTTAAGCTCACAACATAAACAAACACCAAGTAATACTATTTTTAAGTTAACAAGTATTTATAATCATAATTACTCTAAGAATTCCAAATTATTAATTGACAGAAATTATTTTTATCTTTTTAAACTAAACTATACTAAACTAAATATCAAAATCACTTAGATTATAACACTTTGATCTCCGATAGATCCATTTTGTTATGTAATTCTTTTTTTTTAAAACAAACTAACATTTTCTAAATTCCAAATCTTGCGGTTTTATTATTATTATTATTATTATTACTATTACTATTACGACTATTAGCTAGTAGTGACCTACTATCATAGAATAATTGTATGTTTCTAAGTATGCTGAATTATTTATGCACACGTGATATATTAAAAAAAAGATTCTGGTTTTTCTTTGTGGAGAAAAAGTTATTCTATTGATCGTTCTATAGAATGTATATTTAATTGGGATGATAGTTGCGTGTATTAACTTTATGTAACTTTATTCATTTATGGTGTATATTTAAGGTATCAAATGTGTAAGTTATTAATTTATCTTTAAATGTATATCATAGTAATAGAGGACAACGTCTTGTGCTTTTATTTTCTTTGTTTTCTCGAAATGATATACTACTACACAACATATTTGTTTATAATTTATGTCATTAACTGATTTAAATCAAATGAGTTGTACTAGTATTCTACCAATCATAGTTGCTATGATTCGATAACATCAGTTCATGATGTTAATGACACTTAAGAAGGTGTAGATTAGTTACACGTGATAGGCATACTTATCCCATTCTTTCTCTTTGGATCATATTTTTTTAATATCCAGTACAATTTTTACTATCATTTATTTTGACCAATTTGCTAATCGTCATATAAATTTATCCTTATTTTTATGATACTTTGTAAAAACTTGTGTCGATCCATATTTTTGTCAGGTTCTGTGTTGATTATGATTAACCATTAGTTGGGAGTCTTAGTACCATAATAGCGTTTTACTCTAGGTAACTGCGCAAAACTGAAACACTTTGAACATTTTCATTCTATGACCAAGGTCTTTGCGAGTACGGTCTTGGAACAACTGATTCAAAATTAGCGAACTGTTGACTGTTTAGTGAGCTTACACCGTACCAATACAAGATAATCCAAAGCGCAACGTCTTTCTGTATGGAAAAATGAAAGTAGATGCAGGATACTAGGTTAAAAATGGCCAACTGGTTGATTTTGCAGTTAATCATCATTGATTGAGGTGGTTAGGACACTACGTATCACGTATGCCGAAGCATAGCCTATCTCTATTACGATAAATGAAGCATTTTTCCGGTCCATAAAAAATGGATTAATTCGGTAAGGCTGATAAAGTTATGTTTCATTGAATTAGATTGAATGCATCTCATCTTTCTTGACATTCTAACTTGATTCTTGTTATTTCAAACCCGTAAACATTGTAAATTTTTAAATTCTTATCTCTTTGTTTCTAGGGTTGTTACGGTTTTAGTCAGAATGATAATTTTAATCTTCCTAATAAAACCAACAGTATACCTAAGTAAGTGAAGAATAATATTACTGATGTTATTTATTTCTACGGCAAAATTGATATAGGGATTTGTCTTCTATATCAATGTACAATAATACAACAACACTAGATTTGGCACTCGATCGGTACACTAGATGATACTAACAGTAGACTTGATCATGTTAGGCACGAATATACCAGTATCTGGATCAGACAATAGTTTTTCTGACACATTAATAAAAGATCGCACACAATGAAAGAGATCAGAAATTAGAGTGGCGATATAACTGTAGGCGTTTATATTACAGATTATAGAATGGACCTGTTTGTCCTCGTTTAGCATTCAGTTACGGACCATAAAATTATGTTGAATTTCTCATTCTATAAATTAAATATTTCTTTCTCAATTGGTATCCCCTATGTCTAGTCTTTTTCACTGTCACGGATACTACTACTGCCAATATAATTAATTATAAACCATCCAATGCCCAGGACAGGGCTGTATTGAGAGTGCTGGTGGGCTGTGCAAGCTCCTTCATGAGGGGTAACGGGCGTAGGTAAGTAAACATATCATCCAACGTCTCCAATCTTTGATCATCGTTTAGGCGCTGGTCCTTATCAGGTAATCTACGGATAGCGAATTGAGCCAGACAAGCTGTTAGTGATTTAAAAGACATATCCTACATCTTGATTTTGGTCTATTTATTATTTTTACCAACTTCTACTGCAGCCTGTAGGTAATTATTTAGGATAATCAACACTTCCTAACCACCTTCGTCGATGTACGTTCACAGCTTTACTTACCGATTCGCCTAATATCCACATTGCTCACTCCACCGTTCTAATATACTCGATCAATGCATCGAAATTATCTGCAATCACAAACTTATATCCTGCCTATATCTTCTACTTTCCTAACCCTTGTTTTACATCCACAGATTAGTACAAGGAAGACCAATTCTTAGTACTTTTCTCTCTTCGTTGATAGACATATATTTTACCTGCACCACATGTAATGCAGTTAGTAAAAGCCAACTGAGCCTACTGATTCCGTGCTGTTCTAGGGGTTATATAAATACATCGACCATTAAGTAACATAAAAGATTATCCAACTAATTATTCTCATTCCTAATGTTACAACAATTTTTTTTAATGAATAATAAAAATAAATTAAGGGAACTAGATTTAATTTATTCATTGAAAATAATTAAATATTCTAATGATTAATGATCTGGTTGACAAATTTACTGCCTGATCATAATGTAGCGTTAAATAAATCCCAGAAATAAATAGCTCTGTAAATCTTCGACATTGGATGCTGACCACATTAGTTTTAATAAACTCACCTAGCTGAAGGCGCTCGTTCATGCATCCTCACTAAATCACGAGTGGGAACGCCTTGTTCAACATCCCTTGCAAACGTTAGCCAGTCTAGATCAGTCGATCCTCGATATATTGATAGCTTATCAAATATATCTTCGAACCTTCTCGCTTCTGTCTTTTGATTTCACTTGGTGGATACGATTCATAGTCGAAGGTGTTACTGGTCAAACTCCGAATACCTGTGGCATCTTCAGTAATTACATTTATGAATAATTGTTGTGTTTAATAAAAAGTTGAATATCTATTAGATGTATGTAATTAAAATAAATTTTGAAAATATATTAATATTTCATTCTTTCTTACACTTAGAGAATACAGTACAGATGATGACGACAATGATGATTATGATAATGACAATGACGGCGGGGATACGTCAGATGCAGAGAATTCAATTGATAATTTTTGTATTTCAAAAGGTATTGAAAAAACAGATGAAAATGTTTCCAACGAAACGAACGTTACACATTTAATATTGAATGATGTAGAAGTATGTTTTAGTTACTTCATGTATAATCGGTTATTCGTTAATACTTTTTTTATATGAGGTTAGTAGTTACACGTTACTCATGTCGTTGTGATTGCTTTGTTGACTAGATCATAGTTATCTAAACACCAAACGGATGGTTTCTTTTATTGAGAATTATAACTATTTTTTGGCGGATTGTGGTGCTACTAGGCAGCCGATGTAAATGGTTTACTTAGCTAAGTATCCTTATGCTTTTGTTAAAGGTTTTATCCGTAAGTGAATGAAGGAACTATATGTAGATACAACCATATAGTACCCGGTGACTTCTTCGAACTCTTGCATTACTCCAAGTGTCTGTAAATATAAGGTGACTAACAAAAATCTGTTATCGGAGTCAGATTTTCTGGGTTTGTTTGTTAATTTTATATGTGATAATTAAATTTACATTAAGGAAAGGTTAATACAATGTTAATATCTTAGTCAATGCACCAAGATCAACCTCCTTTTGAATGGAAATTTGTAAAACTTACTATTTATTTACAAAAATTTATTGCTTATATGAAAAATGTAGAGCTGAAAAACTGAACTAATGTTCTTTATTCATGCTTAGTATACTGTGTATTTATGTAGACATACATTTGTTTGTATGTTTGTATATTATATAATTTAGACGTTGTTTTTACTCCATGGACTTGGTTGTTTAGACGTTTACTTGCCACTTAATGGAAATTCACAGTTTCATTCAACCAATGAATGTCAACAGCTGGACCCGTTGTCTTTGGTAAGATAAAAAGAAGTTATTTATTTTATTTCTATATCATGTAACGGTAATTTCATTTTTTTATATTAAGTGTTTTTTTGGTTGCTTATGCATAAATATACAATGCATAATGTACTGACGATTAGCATTGTCTAGTTTAAAGTAGTTGTCCAGTAGTTTGTCGTCTGAACTTCATTATGTATAGCAGTATTTAGTGAAGTGTATTTCAAATGTTTGTTATTAAATTTAAACAGAATTGGATGGTAGCTAACTGTGGAATCCAAGAAGCACTTTTCGTACTATCTGGAATACGTCAACTGCATCTCGGAGCTGATATTTACTCCGATACTCAAACCCCGTATCGTTCACTTCAAAGCCCATCATCATGTTATCCACTTAGCTACTGAATCCATATAGCTACTGGCCTTTGCAGTGGAGTGATTTCCAATTCATAGATGTTGGCCGTTGAGATCTTCCAATTAATATTTTAGGATTAGAGTTGATCAATCTCTTATTAGCACATGTACATGTGCAGATTACCTCGATATTGCCACTAAGTCACAAGCATTTTTAAGCAAAATAGAGGGTTGCTAGCAGTAAAATCCAAATTGTTGTTCAATATTTCAACACTTCCACTTGTATTGTAGGTCAATGAATATCATCATACCTCTTTGAATTGTCGGACAGGATCTTGCTCTGAAATTATTTACTAGTCAACGTTATATGTTGGGTTTCGCTTAAGCTATTTGCAATAAAATCACTGATTCTGTTAGTGTACTTGTTTCGTACGATTGATGGCTCATGCAAATTCTCATGTTCCTACATGTATTATCAGAAAATTAAAAGTTTATTTTTTGCTATCAGTACTATCTGTTACTCAAATTCATAGTTGATGTGATTGTATAATTACAGCCCCCAAATGCCCTGATACGTCCGAGAGTGGGGAGAGTCCGCTCTCTCTCTCTCGAAATGCTCTCACATGGCCACGCGTATATAGCCTCTGCCAGGGAAGTCCTACTCACTGCCTTCTCGTGGCGGGGGTGTTGTTTACGAAAATGGGAGGACGAAAAGCGAATGTCCGGCACTTTAAGCGGATCCCAAACCAATGGTGCACATGGGCTCCAGTATCCTCCGGGAACAAATGGCGTATGAACCAATCGTTTATCACCGGCTACCATGGGACTGCATCTCCTTACGATGCTCCACTGCCTTGTGGGTCGGACGTTCAGGTCGAAGGCTCGGGGTGTGGCCTCCTAAGAAAACCACCTACTTCGGTTTGGGCACCCGGGCAGTATCACAGCCCACACACATATCAAATGAGATTTTTGTGGCGCATATGTATTTGGTGCCTCCTTTTACCAATATCTATGTGTTAAAATAATAATAAAAATGTATAATTACAACACCAAACCATAATGCATTATAACTTATAACAATTACTTGGCGCACAAGTAGGACATTTTTGATACTAAACGGATCAGTATCATCTATACAGTTATTTGACTTACGATTGATATGATATATAGGAACAATTATTAAATTAGTAGGTAATTTATACGAACTCTATTAAAAAGTATTTTATAAACTGATAAGTCTTGTTAATTTGAACGCTTTATTCGGTCCCCAAGCTATTCTGGTAACCCCGCAAGGTAGAACTACCCAGCGACCTGAACACGAGAGAAAAGGCCGAAAATAAGCGGAAAGCACTCTACTTCAAAGGTACAGAAAAACACGGGTATTTATAGATTATTAGCATCTGTCAAATCAACATTATATTTTGGCCGATTCGCTAAGAGACATGTTATGCTACTGACCAATAGTAGCATACCACGTTAATATTCTAGAAAGCTCCCTTATGCTCTGATTGGCTGGAACTCTTCGGCTCCTTTAGGGCCTCTGGAGGCTCTGTTGTAGTTCTTGGAAGCGCACTCAACATACCCATGCTAATCCATTTAACAAGCAATATTCACATTCCATATTTTCTTTCCCTTTGCCTGTCTCTAAACAACAAGCATTAAAAGTGAATTAGTAATTGGAAAGCCGTTTTAGTAAAATCTCTTCAAAATGGAGTTTGGCAGTTGCAACGTTCATTTACTTATTTAAAGTTGCATGAAGAATGCTTCTGTATATTCGTTTTTGATCTATGTTTATAAAACTATTATCTTTCTGAGCTAATGGTATTCTATGTTTAGTTATTATTGTATCCTAACATTCTTCAAATTACATCATAGTGTAATAATGTGTAATTTGAGCATAGTAACAATAATCATCTCGTATAACTTAATCACTCATAAATCTCATCATTTTAGAATTCTTCACTTCTTTCTTTTTATATGAACTGATTTATTCTAAATAATAAACAAAGCTCTTATTAGAAGAAGACTAAAAACTTCAATATTCTATACTGAAAGTTATTCTAAGTGATTAAAATATATGATGAAAATGTTTGGAATTTGAAATGGTTCATTCTTTCTTTTTTTGACTTTATTTAAACAACACATTCTTTGTTATTTAAAAGTTGATTTTAATGAATATTATTTATCTGTTTAATTAAATTTTAATATCACTAGGGGTTTTTTGTGGATATGATAGTAATTTTAATAGTTGAGAGCATGAATCAATTAAAACTAGACCACCATAAAAAATCTGGAAGCATTGAACGGCCGTTTCGTTCTATTGTGGGATTTCACAGCAGTGCATATCTACGATTTCGCCTTGCGAGATCCGAACTCAGGCGGAGTCCCACAATAGGACGGAACGGTCGTCCATTACTTTCAAATTTTCCATGGTAGTCTAGTTTCAATTGACTCGTGATCTGAACTATTCTAATTAAATCTTGTCTAATCTTAACTAAACAATTAACAAATTATAATTCTGATATTATTTATTAATTCTCTTGTTATTATTAATTTGAAAACACTACATTTAGTATAGATACAATATTAGACATAAATGAATATAGATACTCTGTTGTGTAGTGTCTAAGATTGACTATATGTGAACAAACAAAGAGTTCAAATATTGTTATAGATAAATCACTGAATCACTCATATCTAAGTTATTTACATTCTTCATCGTATGATACAGTGAATAAGTTGGTGTTGTTGACACTTATTATTTTCTGTCTTACTCAATATGCAATAGAACATCTGTCATCAGCTATCTTTTAATTGATAATAATTTACAACCTCTATTATTTGACACTGTAATATTGATTATGTTTTGATTGTATGATTGATGTGTATGGATTTGGAAATATCAGTTGACCCGACATCTGTGTTCTTTTCATTACGTTTACCGTGGATATTTTATTTTTAATAACCTAATTATTCAATTGTAAAGGCGATTGGTACGCTCGTTTCTCCAGTAGAGATTATGAACAATTATAAGATAATTTTATACAGTTATTAAAGAGCTTCTAGGTATCATTACCACTTAGTACTCTTGAAGTTGCTCCAATTATAGAACTATTAATCGCACAACTACCGGAAAAAGAGCTCTTAAACATCTCTCTACAGGACCATATAAAAACATCGATCCAAAAAACTCTCTAACGATTAGAAATAAAGTCAAATCAGAGACAAGTCAACTTTCCAAAGAACTAAAATCAGTCATTGGTGTCTCATTATGGTTTGCTCTATATCCCAAATCATGCAATACTTCACGTTTTTATGGTTTACCTAAAATTCATAAACCAGACATCCCTCTAAGACCTATAGTAGACTTCACGAATGCACCAACATGTCCATTATCGAAATATCTGAACAACATATTAAAGCCATTACAACTTACATAATATGATTAAAGATTCCTATGACTTTAAATAAAAAAATATCAGAATTAATTATCGCAAAGAATGAAATCATGGTAAGCTATGATTTTGTTTCATTATACACTAGTATTCCTATTGATAAATGCTTAGAATTCATTAGTGGTTTACTAGAGAACGACAAGTTTTTCTGACAGATGTCCTTTAAGCATTATTCTAATCATGAAATCCTCAAAACTTTGCTTAAATTTGGCACTATATACATTTAACGGGACTTTATACAAGCAAACTAATGGTGTAGCAATGAGGATCCCCCGTGTCCATAATTGTAGCCAACCTGTTTATGGCATATATAGAATCGAATATTTTCGCCAATGAAATTAAACCACGAATTCGGCTTAGATATGCAGATGATATCTTTGTTGTGATAAGAAAGACTCATCTAAGATCTTTTTCAAAACGGATCAATACGCTTTCATCACACATCAAATTTACGAACGAGAATGAAAAGGAACATGGTGAGCTACCATTTTTAGATTGCTTGGTGAAAAGAAATTTAAATGGAATTTTAAATTTCTCCATCTACCGAAAACTTACACTTCAGTTCAGCACATCCATTCAGTGCAAAGATCTCGCTAGCCTTAAATCGTTTTAGAAGAGCTAACAAGAGTATCATATCGGAAGATGCAATTAGCATCTTACAATTTAATAATTTTCCTATGGGGATTATTAGAAGTGTATTAAAACAAGACGTTTAATCGCTTAATAATAATTCAAATGAAATACCGTGGATTGGTACTTCAGTTTACCATACCGTCATGGTACAACAGAAGAACTGAAAAAAGCTTAAAACGACACAGAATTAAAGTATGTTACAAAACAACGAACACACTTCGAAATATCCACTTTATGTCAACACAGAACTATGTCTACAAATTAGGATGTTTCGATTGTGATGCCTTATATATTGGAGAGTCATCTCGCGAAATCTCGACCCGAGCCAAATAACATATTAGGTACACAAATAAATAACCTAATAATTCCGTAGAACTGGATAGACTTCAAATTAAATCGGCGATAGCAGTTCACGCCATTTTCAACAACCACCAAATCGATTTCAAAAGCATCAAAATATTATAAAAAGGTTTTTCGAATTACAAAGAAAGGAGAGTAGCGGAAGCGTTCCATATAATGCTTAATCCTACTGCTCTCAAGAGAAAAGAAGGCCTTACTATCTATCCTAACCATCCAGTCTGATATTATTCACATTTCACTATTATCTTACATACAAGTTTAACTACCAGATAATTAAAATAACTTATGGTATCATTGAATAAGAAAAAGAGAATTCAGCGAAGAAAATTTTCTTTTTGACGAAATCACTTACTTAAGCAGTCCATTCGTATATATAGTTTTATGGGAAATATAGGTCTGTAAGAGGATAGAAAATATTGCGTCATAAATTGATTCGAGACTAAATAACAAATGAGGTTATGTATTAATGAAGGGCTTCAACATGAAAAAGCATCGACAGTACAGACGAAAACCTTGTTTGTGAATACGGAATTTAAAGGAGACACGGTTGAAATCTTATATAAACGGATTTCAAAATCGTTGAATAAAACATTCTACGCAGCTAAGCTCCGAATTATTTTCTCAAGCCGGTCTACCATTCTTGGATTTTTTAAGGATAAACTTCCTATTTGGGCCACATCTATGTGTACCAATTAATTTACTTGCTCATGTGGGACACGTTAAATAGGCCGCACAAAGCGATCAGTTTCCAAGCGCATCTCAGAACACTGTCCGGCATGGCTTTTAAAAAGAGAATGTAAAACAATTACTAGTTCTGTACAGGAGCATTCAATCAACTGTGGACACATCACTCCAAAGGAGTCTTCTTTTAAAGTAGTCTACACAGTCAAAGGAATTGGATCGAAGGGATTTTGAATCAATATTTTATGCACTGCTGAGGCATTGGCAATCCAAGAACTCAAGCCTGAACTATGCGTGCAGAAACGATTCGTACAACCTCTCATCCTTTCTTGGCTCTAATTTTCTTTATTGGTATGTTTCAGAGATTTTTTCTGCACTTTTATTTGATTATTATTAATATCCTTTGAATTTCAATCTTAAACTCTAATCCGTTGTTATTATTATTAACTTATACAAGTTTTCTTGAGTTTTATTCAGTTTATTATTATGTCTGTCGTTTTTCTTCATATCTCTCAATTGCTTTAAATTATTTTCTCCTTTACTCCTTGATTAGTATCTACCTGATTACATATAAATTTGTTAAGAACATTGATATATAAAAGTAAAAGGTCAACTGGACTGGAAATGGGGTAAGAGGAGACAAGGATAATAATAAGAGTAATAATAATAATGTACAGCTTAAGTAAATGATTTCGTCGAAAAGAAAATTTTCTTCGCTGAATTTTTTTTATTTAATAATGTGAATACAACTCGACACCTAATCACTGTGGATAATAATGTTACCAGGGTAGGTTTAAAGTGAAAGCAAACTGTTTTTCAATACACAAATGGGGTTTGAATTTTCGTATGGCTAGGACTTCAATAAACCTTAGTATACGCCCTTATACACTTTTATACAACGCCACAAAAGCCGAGTTAAGATCAATCTTATGGCCTGTTTCGATTTTTTCATCCTTAACCATGTACACAAATTTATATACTTGTCGCCTATGAATCACATTGACCGAAATGACATGACATCGATTTGTTCAGACCTGTGTTTCTGATTGATTCTGTGTACCATTTAAACTTGGATTAAATTTGATCTGGTTATTTACTCTCTGAAAAAGTGGCTTACATTGAGTTACGAAACGTCAGAAAATCTAATTTTTGTACTTATTTTGATATCACGATAACGAGAGATTTTGTTTATTTATGCCTGATGTGTCTTGCCTATTAGGCACTGTATACTTTTTATTATTTCTGCATTGTTTTTACCGTCATCTCTCTATGTGTAATAAATAAGCAATAAAATGATTGCCTTTGATTTCTTTATATTCTCTCATTTTCTCACTGTATAGACTGAGGTCTGGTTCTGTTTGTGTACAGGATCTGTTGATTCACCTTGTTTACAAATTCAATCAGCACGAGAACATATTGAAAAGTATTCAGAAAAAGAATTCCATCTATTACGCCGTTATGCTGTATATATATATTATAGATCTAAGGGTTGGATTGTACGCTCCGGATTATGTGTAGGTGGCGCTGATTACCTACTTTATGCTGAAGATCCTAATTGGAGACATGCTTCATTTTGTGTTCTAGTTGATAGGGATTCTACAAATAAGGATGGAGAACAAATGAATTGCAGTTCAATAGCTGCACATGTTCGTGTTGCACATTCGGTCGGTAAAGTAAGTTCATTTAATTATATTTTGTGTATAGCTTGGATCAAATAAATCCATAAGATTTTGAATATTAATTTGCTTTTTAACTTAAGGTCGCACATATAATGTATTGATATACGTTTTCGTAATTCTATTATAAATTAGGTGAATGAGTAAGTTAAAGTTGCACTTGAATGGTTGAAAAAATGTCTAATCATAAAGGAGAACTTAATCATTGGCAACGTCTGAGACTATGATACTGGGAGACACAAGTTTAAATGCAACGTCGGGTATAATTGTCGTCGTGATTACAAATATAATTTGCTAGTGAGTGCCAACTGCCACGAAATGTACATTAAATAATATTTATTGCCTGTTGACTGAAATTTTCATCTTATTTTTCAACCAGTTGGATATTGTCAGTGTGAGATTGTTGGATTTTATTGAGATCAAGAATTTATCTAACGTAGACAACCATTGTGAACCTGGGAGTACTAAATAACCGTTGCATCCTAGTATGGGACTCCTCAAAAGTGCTCACGTACAACTCTTCAACCAAGGGTCGACCTTACGGCATTCAGTCTTGCGCACATATGCCCAACTCCTGAAATACTGGGCTAGGATCCAGTGGCGTACAAGCCTAATTTCAATCAATCGCTTGAACATCTTTCATTGTCTTCGGTGGTTATCTTTCTCACACCTGATATAGTTTACTTTCACTGATCATGGCTTCTCGCTACAATTACTCGAATTTCCTCTCTAAGTTAGTCACTAGTGAAAAGGGAATATGGAGACTGATTGGTTATTATTGAACATAATACAAATGATGTTGATTAAGTCTTCATGATGTTAAATAAGAGAATTTATATGCTAAACTGCGACTGGTTGATGTGTTCACAACTACAAACATCAATTATTAGAATATGAAATACATTAATCTAAACGTTCATAAGACTCTCTTTTAGAAATTGAGTTCTGTGATATTATCGGTTGCTAATTTTATAAAATCTAATTACCCTTATTAAAGTTTCTAAGTGGTACAAATTACTATTAATTTTAAAAGACACCTTTAGTAGACTGATCTAGAACCTTCATTTCTAATGACACAATTTTTGTGAAAATAGAGAAAAGATACTTTTATAATTCTATAGGGTCATTTAATCCAAATCTTTTCATGGTTTATATCATAAAATAAATTTATCCAAACGACTAGGTAAAACCAGGAAGGAGTGGACATCCCTTTCGTCCCAGTATTAGACTTATTAAATGTACACATCCATGACTTCGCCGAGGACTGAACCCAGAGCCCAAATTTTTGACTGCCTTGTTGATAACCACTGTTAAAGAGAGCAAGGACGAAGATTGGTGCAGAATAATATGAATTTATCATATTTCGTTAGGTTCTCATCAACTGCTTACAACTTATAATATTTTAAAATCAACGTTGTTACAAATATTGACATACTTATACATACGAGGGTGATTATTGATGAATATGTGTATCATGCTGTAGCGAAGATTCCGATAGAGTTAATAAGGTCATAAAAAGTTGTGTTTCGGATAAATAAAGCTTGGTAGGGAAAGCTCCAGAACATTGAATTAATGATTATTTCAATGTTTCATTGAAATCGTCGAAAATGTGTTTCTGCTCTGGATCGTTTCCTATTTGTGCCTCTATCGCTCGTTTTAAGTCATTCCTTTTTTTATTACTTGATGACTGCTATTCATCGCAAAAAATCTATAGATTTCAATGTTTCCATACTTCTGATAACAGTCAATTTAAAAAAATAATCATTTCCTTTTTAAATCTGCGATTATATTAGCGTGTGATACTTTGTCGCGTAAGTCTCCCGTCAATTGAGGAGTTTTCCGACAATCCATGGGAAGCTGTTCGGAAAACAACAATTAAGGTAAATAGTAACTTTTTCCGGTAACAAACTAACTTGTTATTAATTTTTTGGGGACGGACTGAAATTGACTGTGAAATTATTTTTCAAAATGAGAAAGGACTAAACAGGGGTTCCATTTTAGTTTGTGATTTTACAACAGTACATAAGAATAACTCTGCCACGGTTAGAAATCAAGACCTTTTATGACCCACTGTGAAGACCTTATCCATTAAGTTCTCTAAGTATTTCCATACTTCAAAAAAAACTGTGTTTGCGAAGAAAAAATGTCATTCGGATAACCAGTGAAAAGTTAGAATTAACCAGGTTTTTAAAACTGAACAATGTCTCAATGCTCATTAGTGAGTTTATGTGACATACACATTTGTAAACTTGAATAGACCGTGACTTTGAAGGTCATCTAAAGTGGGAACCATAATAAATGTTTGATTATACCAATGGTCAGCATAGATTTTAAATTTTATGAGGATTTAAAGTCCTTTCAGAACTATAAATTGATGTTATTGTTATAAAGGGAAGTTATTCATATGATATCTGTTAAAACAAATATCTAAAGTGAATGCCATATAATGAGACCTGGTCTCTTCTCACGATTTGTATTTTGATTAGGGTATAGGAAGGTTTGTGAAAGTTGCATAGTCTTCATAATTCCAAGCTACAGATTGAGGGATCGCCTGCTAGGATGAAACAAATATTCAATGCCTCATGGCCCATAGTGCTTATCTAGTTATAATCAGTCAGTAATGTAAAAGCATATTTTATGCTTCATCATTATGCTACTTAATATTCAAAAGTAGTGTGTAATTTTATATTTCAATATATGTAACTTGACGTACTATTGATTAAATTTTTATTTATTTTAGGAAACTCTCATTGATTATTGGAAACCGAAAGCCAAATAATAAAAGTTTGAGAACCAATTTAGGTTTTAAGGTACAAAGTGCCTTAAATATATTTTCAGCGAAATCATATTTCCCAATAGCGGTGATGTACATATATTTAAAATTTTCTGGTTTTCTATGCAATAAGGTACTCCCTACAAATACGTCTTTTTTTTGTTATACCGTCAGGTTCCCAGATGTTCACTCATTAAGTTGCCTAGATCATCCAGTACTTTCGTAAATGTGTTATGATGTTGTTCAGATACATACGTTGTGGAGATTATTAATTTTACTTAGCTTACCAGCCTGCCTTAGTCAGAAAACCATTAGAAACCTGAAAGCACTAAGTGACCATTTCGCTCTAATATGGGATTGCTTAGCAGTAGGGATGTACGACTTTAATCTGTAATCGACCTTCGGTCTCGCACGCGAACGCTTAACCTTTAGACTACTAAGCTGCGATGTAAATGATGTGCAATTCATTACGTATGAATTATATCACATCATAATTGAATTTAGACAATAATGCATTGTCATCGTACCCATCTGAAAAGATCGAGGCCGCTACTAAGAGTATTATTCATTTCAAAGTATACTGGAGCCTTTGTGAACTAATTAATGCAAGTTGCTGGAGTGTTTCATTGAAATCATGAACCGATCTGAGTTATACAACCATTGAAAACCTGGAAGCACTGGACGGCTGTTGGATTGTTAACCAAATTACTGTGATTAATCAGTTCTAGGGTAAGCAGCTATTCAATAATATGTGTTAACTCCATTTACCAATTCAATATTTCAAGAGGCTGATATTGAAACTAAAACAAAGGAAGTGTAATGTACATATTGTTGCACCCCTAGTATCCTTAACCGTTCAAATAAAGTGCATGAATGAATAAATTTTGTTCAACCTCTACCTTGAATACGTACAAATCACTTTCGTCCGAACTGCTTTTAACCAAAAGCTTATGTATCATGTGGAAGTAAACTGTGATTGAGCAAGGACAGATATATCTGGCTACACTGAACATATTTGTTTATAAAATGTTCATTCCAATGACTTGTTTTGTTGATTGCATTGAGCTATTTTTCAATAAAATGTTGTTCTAGCTTATATCTGGTTCTTGATCATTGATTGGTTAATTGATTCGACTGTATCATTTGACCAAATATCATGTTCTAGTGGGCAATCTAAGTCTTAGTCCTACTGACTTGATTATCTATTATCGAATATTGTATAGAATTGTCAATGAAATCCATTTTTTACTGTCTTTACACAGTTGTTAGTTCTAATAAATATAGGGGCATATAAACTTATCACTTAAATAAAATACCCAATTCATTCAATACATATTTCCCTCGATTTTAAATTCTATTGATCCTCGATGAATACTTTTTATCTTTACAAACCAAATTCTCAAGGCTTAATCTATTTATCATTTCTACTACATTATTTCGATTTGTTTTGTTGTTTTCATCTCATCGCGTTAATCTGATATAAAACTTAGGCCAACTAACATTTTTCTCAGACTCTAGATTGGTAAATTCACTTGGTATTGTTTGGCTTGTATCTTCCCATTGAGGTTTAAAACTGTAATTGATCAGTTTGTTATTGGGTATATGTGCATACTGCGCGTATGCCTCGATATTGCCTTGATTCACAAGCTTTTATAAGCAAAGATGGATAGTGGCTAGCAGGGGAATCCAGGACGCGCGTTTCGTCCAATTTGGGACGCGTCAGCTGGATATACCTGCATCTCAGAGTTGATGTTCACTCTGGGACTCGAACCCAGTACTATTCGTTCCAAACGCCATCGCGTTATCCACTTAGCTACTTAGTCCTGACTGATAATATCTATCTTAATTTAAAACTGGAATAAATTTTTGATTTGTTGTATATTTAAGTCCTGAGGTATCGGTATGCATTATTTCGTTTAATGTATAGATAATACTAAACATATTTAATATCAGCGGTAATGTAAAGAATCCCAAAACAAATAAAAAATAACGCGGGGGGGTGTAATCAAAAAATAGTTTGCACAAAAAAAACCAAAAAAAAATTAAATGAACACCTTGGGGTTAATTTTCTTGAGACAAAAAAAATCACGTAAGTAACAAAGCACAATTTACAATAAGATACTTCAAAAATTTGTTAGAGAGGGAAAAAAGGAAAGAGGGGGGAATATAATTTGAAGGAGAAGATAGTATTAGGAAAAAATGGTTTTGAATAGAATACACTTTACGAAAAAAAGCTTGTTTTTTTTCTTTTGTTACTATTATACTGTACGTTGTGGTTAAAAGAGAAAGCAAATAAAACCTTGACTAGGTATATCGAGAGACATATTCAACGATAGATTTTCTTGTGGTTCGAGAATAATTTTAGAGAGAACAAAAATACTCATAATAAATGCAATACTGTGATGATAGGTTGTTGTTGTTGTTTTCTTTCTTTGTTTACCTTTTTTATTAATACTTTCGATTCATTGGTTTAGCTTGCTGAAAACAATTATGAAAGATTGATAAGTAATATAAGGAAGAAAGAGTATAACATTCAAATAGAAGGTAAACATTTGATAATGTGTGCTGAACGATAAATTATTCAATATTAAAAATTGAGATATTGAGCCTTATTTGACATTTTCAATTAGACGCATATATCTGTATTTATAATTAATCATGTTAATCATCAATGCAATCGACAAACTTAATCATCTAAGCTAATGGTTGATTAGCAGTTTCTTGTACACAAACAAAAAGTGGAATAAATGTTGAATTGGGAAAGAAACAATTAGTTACATACATTTTAGATTAAGATATGCAGTAGCAGTTTCATTAGAACGTTATTACAAGATTGTTGTAAACACTTAATGGTATAATTGTTCTTACCAGTTCAGTTTTTCGTCAGTGAAGAATCTATCAGTTTACTATAACACAAAATGAACCATAAATTTATGTTTAATTCGGCTGAAATTTTCTATTTCCAACTAGCACCTGTTCCGCTTATTTTTCAGATAACCGTCCAAATAAATATCGCTTACTAGTGAGTGACCGGTCTCTACCGATAAATTAATTTTAAGATGTCATTTAATAAAGAGGAAGATAGTTAAAACGGAGGATTTTTGTAACTCTAGTCGTTTCTTGTAGTGGTGTTGTGTTCCGTCAGCTCGATGGTTTAATTAGAGGACTTTTATCATCCTTCTAGACAACATTATCAGTGCATACTTCACGAAGATCCACAATTAAGCCATTTAGCTCAAAAAACGCTAGATTATAAATTATTTGTCTTTACGAGATGTTATAACACTTGGGAATCGCTTTGTTACATAATACAGACATAATAAGCTGTAAATAAAGCAGATCTCAGTTTACATATCTTTTTCTGAGAAGGATAACCGCATATATACCTTAAGTCCGCGCACATTATGGATTTGTTTGCCTAGTACCACTTACAAGTCATTTCTGACTCGCATAGCTGATTGGACAAGTATATAGGTAGTGTGTCTACTTCAGTCCAGATTACTTTTGGAGCCATGATTTTTATTGTGTTTTTTATTTGGCATGTTGGGATGCGCCATATCAGCGTGTTCATAGTCAGTCAAACACAACGTAGAAACTGGTACATTTCTACATCAGTCTAAGTTGCTACACTCTATTAGCACAGTGAGATAGAATTGCCAGGAGAAGTCTGGGAGTAGTAGAGGTAGTGAGTGTTCGCACTGATAGAAGAGATCGGACATAAAATGTACTATCAAGAAAGTATAGACTAGCGGAGTTGAAAAAGTTTATAAGAACTTAAGAAGCTTCGTATCTAATAGAAAACAAACATCAAATGCATGTCACTCAAATTATTGTTTGCCGTAATCACTTACAATCCAACCAGTCAGTCTCACCTTACCGATATTGCTCAGTTCAACAACCAATATATATTGGCTTGGTCCTTCCTAGCCTTTTTCCAACCTACTCTTACATCGATCATCATCGCCCGCTGAGTTATTCAGTCGATAAAATCTCACTACTTCATCCCTATATAGTATTCTGCGTCTAACTTTGGGAATGTTAACTCGATACTATTCATTACATATAGGTGTAAGTAACTTCAGATTCTTGAAATGAAACGTTCTGCGGAAACTACTGTGAAATGCAACACTCACCCACTAGATGAAGCAAAAATAATGGGTACCACTGTTATGGAAGGTTGAGAAATGAATGGATGACCTCAAACAATTTGTTATTATCTCAGTGTACTACATAGTACTTTCAAATTTTTTTACGTGATTGAGCAGTTAGTAAGATATATAAGTAGAATATGTCGGTGTATAATAGTGATTTTATTTGTCAGTTTCTTAAGTCATAGACACGAGTGATGAACTTTTTAAATACAAATTATGTAATAGCATTTAGTAGCCAGATTTTGTGTAATATGAATATCAACGTCACGTAACAGATTCTTACTATTAAATACTCAATTAACAGCTTATTTCACCTTTAGACAGTATAGTACACATACTTAGTCATCCTTCTTAAGTGCATAATAGGTTATTTTCTAAAAATGGTGATAATTGTGAGTGAATTTCAGATATGAAGGGAATGGCCAACGCCCAACTTAGGTGAGTCAGCATATGTAAAATTGAATGGTCGATCAATTTACTTGGATAAATCGCGACCGATAGTTGTTTTGCTAATGTGTTTTTGAAATATGGAAGATATTTATAGACTAGTAAGACCATTAAAACTGTATTGGCGTAGAACTCGCATCAAGACTATCAATGATAACAAAAGTGGTTATTCATCGGTCATCTGAATAATTTGACTTCAGTGATGCTTATGCATGTGAATCGTTTTAAGTCAGTCAGCTATAACGTAGGACCAGGCACATATATGTATGCATCGGTCCAAGTTGCCAAACCTCACTAGCACAACAAGATGAACACCGAATTCAAAGAAGTAATTACTTCAATGGTAATAATATATAAAAGAAAGACTGTGTATAAGGAAGAAATAAATAGTTCGCAGAAAGAAAGGTTTAAAGCAATTTTAATCTCATACACCTATTCGATTGTGATCGATTCTGAACCATGTCATTCAGAATCTTCAAACATTGGTTATGATAGTCATGCGGACCCACACCAAGTAGTCTGCATCTACCAACATGACTCAGACCAGAAGTTAGCGATTTCAAGCACTGATGCCACGTTTTGGTTTGGCCACCTCTAACTTTCTTCCAGCCGTCTCTAACACTAGTCAGCATCGTGTGTCGTGGTAATTGGAGTTCACGCGTACGCAACACGGCCCAACGATCTCAGTCGATGAAGATCCACAACCTCATCAACTGATTTACCATCATTCCCTAATACCCTGCGTCTAACCTCACTATTACTTACCTGGTGATCCCAACAGATGCGAGCAATATTTCTAAGGTTTCTGTGGTCAAATATTAGTAGCTTACGAGTATCGTCTTAATGGTGAAAATGTAGGTTATTTATAGCGTCAAAGAATTGGTGAGTACATTGTTCATTTGTCAGTCTGATGCGATTTTAACAATCATTATTTTAAGTGTGAGATAATATACTATCATTTTATTGAATTCATAAGATGTATTCGACTATTTAAAGTTTATGTTTTCACATGAATTTATCCACTATGGAAAAACGCGCTTCATTGAATCTAAGCATTATATTCATGTTCCAACTAGATCTTTGAGAAACAACTGTGGATGAACACAGAGTCGTTGAATATTGACACCACTTAAAAATCTATCTTTACATCTGTATGACACAACCGTTCATCTAAGTTAGAAAATGTCAGTTGCACTCTTTATGTAATTATCAACTATTCGCATTAGTATAATTTTCGTAAATCAGTTGATCAATAAAAATCATGGAGCCTGCAAGAACCATTTCATTCACTGATATAAGTAACTTCGAATAAGAAGTTATAAAAGAAATGTGGAATCGATAAAATCTTATAAAACAGTTATATTGTAGAACTCACTTGAACAAATGTATTTGGTTGACTTTGAATTTTCTGGAAGAAAACAAAGTATATTTCAAATAAATTTAATATATGAAAACAAGCAGTCACAGTAAGTTCTGAATCTCTTCGATCCAATCATGATCACTCACTGATGAGAATGAATCCGTGTAGTAAAATATATATTTCCACAAATCCTTATATTAGTTTTAAATGAATTAGTCTTACTAATGTTTAATAAACATAATAATGGTTACTATATTAAAAAAGAAATTAAAAATGCACCAAGTAACCAAATGAAAATGAAGGTAAACTAGCTTAACTCTATGCATACTACTTAATTTCAAATGAATTATAAGAAAAAAACAAACACTATAGTCAATATATGATCATACACATGACCGAATCTATTCATTTACATAGGCATTAATCAAATGCATTTCTATTGATTGAGGTCAATAAAATATAGATGTATTATGATTTATTTCACTTCATTTTTAATTCATAGAAACAGTGTGGAAAAACAGAAATGAGAAATCGTATTTTATTTATGTAATGAAATTTTCACTGTACTCTAAATTATGATGAATAAAGTAATGAATTATCATTTTTTATATAGTATTCCATGAATCTACTTATTCGTTAACCTATAGTTAAAACCAAAATGTACTGGATTTATAATCCTATTTGATCTTAAGTATAAAACTGATGCTCCCTTAAATCGGTCTGAACTTCTTGATGATCTCTAGTGCATCGTTTTTTTTTTGTAGTTGTTGAGTTAAGCTGATCGAGAAGTTTATAGCTCAGGCAGTATTATATTCTATGAGTTAAACAATTTTTAGTTGCGAAGTGTTCATTCCAACATCAACTAAGGTTTATTAATAGTATAGAATTGTATAGAGATTGTCAAAATTTATGATCTTCATCAAAGAGTGAACTAAATTATATGGTCTCTGAAAGCCAGGAAATAATTAATGGCTTTTTAGATTTACTTTAGTGGGTATTCATGAACTCACCGGCGGTCAAAGTCAGGTGATCGTACGATATCGTTAATTGATTGTAGTTAGACGCACAATCCACTAGTAAGGTCTATTTAATAACACAGTAAAGCTTGGTTCAGTAAGGCAGTATGTAATATGTTAGACGTAGAGCGGTTGTTAAGTGGTTAGAAAGACTTAGTGTTCAACGATTAAGTTGTACCATTTGGACACTGCACCTACCTTGGATTATTTAGATAGTCAGTATCACTAAGTGTTATACAAAAAGTTGATCTTATAATCAGTTTCTGAATCCACACTTTATTAGTAAATTTATGCGAAACGTTCTGGACAAAAGGAATAATTTTATAGGGTACCTAAAGTCATATCCAGTATTACTCGTTTTTATCAGTATAGGGTTGTAGAAATTACTAAGTTTTCGATTGAGATCATGGACCGATTGATATTAGAGCTAATCCGTGTCGAATAGAGACAAGTATCTACCTCAGTACAATAGAAGATGGTCGCGCATTTTCGTGGATTAGTTGAGGTTATACATTAACACCGTTGAATGCCGGCTCAGTGGTCTCGAGGTTAGGCGTTTGCGCGCGAGGCTGAAGGCTTTGGGTTTGAGTTACACGAGCGGGATCGTGGATGAGCACTGCTGAAAAGTCGCACAATACGACTCAACGGCCGTACAGTTCTTCCAGGTTTTCAATGATGGTCTAACATCAATAGGTCCATAATCTCGATCAAATTCCTTGTTTTTATTTAATTACATATAATTCACAAATTTCAGACTATACTACTTATTAAACAACTGGACTATAAGAAATTAAGCTATTTGATTTAACAGACAAAACCTTATTCTGTAAACCATAGTAAGACAAATAAAATTTTAGTATCAAGTGACTCCTATCAACAGGGAAATTTGATAGGATTCGTAACTGGAGAAATTTTAAGCCTGAAGATAGAAACTAAATTATAATCTACATAATTATCAAGTCTTTGTGACTTTTTACATCATCTGTAGTTAACATCCTCAATGGAAATGAATTTAATAAACCCAGTCATATTAATCAATATCTCCAGAATGAATTTTGAAGATTACCTAACTGTTAGTTCTAATTATTACTAATTGATAAGTTCTTCTGGCATCGATTTACTTCTATATATAAACTGTTGAAACTTCACTAGCTTTTGTTAAACCATGGTGAATACTTGAACGGTAAAGACTCTGATAAGTACCAACTAGCGACGAAACTATTCCTAAGGTTATCTATCGATTACTTCTGACTATCCAGCATCATATCGATACAAAGATGGATAGTGGCTAGCAGGGGAATCCAGAACGCGAGTTTCATTACTGCTAGCCACTATCCATCTTTGCTTATAATGCATGTGCATTAAGGCAATACGCACAGTTGCATATATGTCAATAAGATACTGATCAATTAGTCTTTAACATTACTGGAAAGATTCCCGTAAAACAATACCAAGCGAATCATATCGATACTTTCTAACAATGAATATTGTACCTACACACTATAAAACTAATATTAACACACAAGTTGTAAAACAAACTCATAAAACCATTTGTTTTTACTAACTTCAATTTAACCTAACCCAAATTTAAATTAAACACTAAAGAAAACAAGCTGTTATACAAAGGGGAAAAATGAAAGATTACAAAACTAGTTTACTAATTTAAAACTGATTATCATTTGCAAATAGAAACAATTAAACTAATCATATTTTCAAATAAATTAATGTCCCCCTCCCAATGGAGAATAAATAATTTTCTGTTTTTTTTAGTGACTTTCAATTTTCATTTCTCTTTTTTTGTTTGTTTTGTTTTGTTTTACTGAAAAATTTATGAACCTAAAGATAAATGATTTGTTTAGCTGATTGGTTTCAAAGAAATTACACTATAATATTGATTATTTTGTTTAGAAAAACAAACAAACGAAAAGTTACTTTTGTCAAAATAAATAATTTTAATCGTTGAGATCATGAGTCAATCGAAGCTAGATCACCATGGAAAACTTGGAAGCACTGAACGGATGTTTCTTCCTATTGTGGGACTTCACAGTAGTGCGTATTCACGGTCCTGCCTCGTGAGATTACAACCCAGGACCTATCAGTTTCGACATAGGAAGTAATAATAATGTAGTGTTGGTTAATATGTTAAGCCCATATAACTTATTCTAGCTTCTGGATAAACCAATTTATCTATTCTTCTTGAGTCACGTTTCGACCTTGTTAGTTATTCATTTATCAACCTTGACTGTTCTTATAGGGGAGTTTGTGTGTGTACACTTCTTATCCTATTCATCACATATCTATATCTGTAGCATATTTTTGTGTGACTATAAATACTGAGTTACGCTTGATTAAATGGTGTTAGCTCACACGCTTCGTCCACTGCGCGCCATCATCTCACTTTGCTCTCTTTTCTTCGCTTTGTTCCTCTCATTGTCTATCCAGATCAATGAGTGTACAAAATATATGTAATGAAACATCCATTCTCATATTTGAGTTATTTTATTCCGTTATTCACCAACGCGATTTAAGTCGATGATTATATACAAGGCTTGGTGTATATTTCAATAACAATCATTCCTACGATACAATTGGTGTCAGATAGGGGCCACTAAAATAGTATTAAGTCTAGTAACAAAAACTAATCTTCATCTCGTTTTCATGCAAATCAGCTCTATAATTTGAATCAAACATTTATTCACTGTGTTAAGTTACCTTTTGTTTCCAATCGTTTTCAGGTAGTCATAACTCCGTGACAATTACTAACTTTGAATTGTTAAGTTCTATAAATTATAAGTGTTTTGAGTGTAACTAATCAGAGCTAGATTTATAGCATAATACTGATACATGTGCACAGAGTTGATAACTAATTTTATTGTACTAGATTGACAAACTACTTCCTCTTGCTACAATGATGACTTGATTTGGAAGAAAGTGTTGGGGTTCGAGGAAAAGATGTTGGTGAGCTTCAGAATTGTTATGAAATAAGATGGAGTAGTGATATCTCCAATTTTCATAGCATTTCATAAGCATAGCTAAATTGACACCAGGTTGGTAAGTGATTTGGCTAAACGGTTCAGTTGGTAAATAGTTCAGAAACAAACTGTTCGAATGTTGTTGTCATATTACTTTTTTTATTGGCTATTATTACATATTCACCTAATTTACCAGTTAATTAAGTGTTCGATATTTACTATACAAGGTGGAGAAGAATCGCCATAAAAATTGGATTCAAATTTGCCTGCTACACTATTGATTTGAACATTGTAAAAGAACGAGCATCTTGGCAAAAGTATTTCACTAGGTTTTAACAGAACAGATGATCAGTATCTATGAAAATCAAACTTACAGTGTTGGGAAATGATGATGAAAATTTAAATAAATTTTCAGATGGGATAAGCTTCTTCATAAACTGATCTGTTTTCATTTTTTGCTTAGTTCTTTTCATTGGACGAGCAACTTGAATAATCTTTTAACAGAACATACAAAAAGGAATAACGAAGACATTTTGTTTGTAAAAATCAACAAACTGTTATTGATACAAATAATGATGAATGAGTAAATAACGCCTGAATAGTTAATAGATTCATGTAACTAGGGGAGATTTTCGAATGCGATATTTTGGTAATATAGTTATGACGATTCATACAGACAATTTCTAAATTAACTCATTCTCCTCAAGGATCAGGTGAATGTTCTAATGACACAATAGATGACAAATTATTTCATCTTCGACAGATACTCATCAGAAATGGTTATCCATCTAGACTCATCGATAAGAACTCAACAACTAGACTACATCCCGAAAAAACACTAACTGTGCAAAAGAAAACTCTTTTAATGAATATGGAATTTAAAGAAGATATGGCTGCCGAACTCCTGAATAAACGGACTGCAAAATCCCTGAATAACACTTTCTAATCAACTAAGTTCAGTATTATCTTCTCAAGCCGGCCTACAATTCACGAATGTGTTAAAGATCAACTTCCGCTTTGGGCTACATAGATGTGCATCTGTCAATTTGCTTGTACCTGTGGGGCAGGATACATTGGCCTCACAAAATGATCACTTTCTAAACGCATCTCAGAACATTACCCAGCGTGGCTTTTAAGAGGAGAATGCCAGACAGTTACCAGTTCAATACAGGAGCATCTAGTCGACTTCGAACACGTTGCTCTGAAGGAGTCTTCCTTTAAACTGATCTACACAATCAAACGAACTAGAACGAAGGGAGGTCGAATAAAAAAACTTATGCAATGCTGAGACATTGGTGACCCACCAATTCAAGTCCGAACTCTGAGTACAAAGACCATACGTTTAATCTATCATAGTTCCTTTGCCCTAATTCTCTTCTGTAGTATGTTTTGTAATTTCAAACCGTAATCGGTTATTATTATGACTTTTTTCTCCATATATGTCAAGCAGACAATTATCTTTCATAATTCTGACCCATAAATTATTCTCGTCCTTCTATTCTTCTCTAACCCCTGATTATTACGCAACCTCTTTTGATATTTGGAGTTTCGAATCAATTTATGATGCAATTGTTTCTATCCTTCTATAGATATATATTTACCATACAACTATAGATACGAATGTACATCTTCAGTAAATGATTTCGTTGAAAAGAAAATTTTTTTCACTGAATTCTCTTTATTTTTATTTGATGACACAATGAACTATTTTAAATGTATCACTGTACAGTATTAGGATCTTGACTCTATCTGCTTATATGTTAATTCAAATTGAATTTGAATGTGTTCGATTGATAATTAGTTCCATAACAGAATAACAACATGATACTAAGCTAAATATCATCACTATATAAAATGACATATTTAACTTACAGAATTTTCTGTCCATATTGAAGTATCTAGATTACTAGATGAAGGATGTTGGAGATTCGATGATTTATTTGAATGAATCGATTTTAAATGTGAATGAGAATCAGAATTTGTAATACATTGTGGTTGTTGTTGTTGTTCACTTGTAGATTCTTTCAAAAAAGGCGCAGAGAATTTATGAAGTGTAGACAATAAATTAGATTGAATTAATTTTGTTTTGCAGTCAATAGAAGAACAATAGTCATTTTTTACAAAATTATTCTCTTTTGAATACATTATTGAATTGAACTGGTGGTTCATGTTTATAGTTTGTGGATTATATAACAAATTCAATGGAGGTTGTTCGTAGGATAAAAGCTAAGCAAATAAAAAAATTTATATATATATATATATATATATATATATATATATATATATCAAATTAACTCTGATTACCACGATGCGTAGTGCTAACTGGTGTTGGGGATGGTTGAAAGAAAGTTAGAGGCAGCCAAACCAAAACGTGGTATCAGTGCTTGAAGTCACTAACTTCTAGTCTGAGCCATAATGATAGATGCAGACGGCTTGGTTGGGGTCCGTGTGACTATTGTAATCAATGGTTGGAGACTCTGGGTGACATAGTTCAGGATCGATCACAATCGCGTAGGTGTATACAGTCTCTGTCTTCCTTTAAACTATAAGATTAAAATTGCTTTACACCTTTCTTTCTACGGACTAATTTTTTCTTCATGTACTACATCTTTATATGCAATCTTTCTTTTACTTATTACCACAACTGAAGTAATAATTTCTATGAATTTGATGTTCATCTTGTTGTGCTAGTGAGGTTTGGCAACTTGAACGGATGCATACATATATGTGCCTGGTCCTACGTTGTAACTGACTGACTGACTGAAATTATATCCGCCTGGAGCCCCTCTGGAGCTAGTGCCGGTCCCAAACCTGGATAATGGAGGAAGGTTGGGCACGGGGTTAAAGACCCTATTCCGTAGAAAACTAACTCGCCAAAAAACGCCAACCAGAATATATATACATTAATCGTTAAAACCATTAGCAGATGAGCATCCATTGTACAGAACTAAAATAACCAATGACTACTGAGAGTTGGAAGTTTATGATACCGGCTGACTCAGTGTTTCAACTGAATAAGTGTCCACCATAACATCTGAAGCTCCCGAGTTAGATCTCTGGAGGGGTTGTACGAGTACACCACTAAGGAGTCCCGTGCTCGAACGAAAGAGCTATCGAATACCCCCAGATTTTTAACAGTATCTTAACTTGGATCATTCTGTAATAAGTACAACCTACAGATTATCGAGAGTGATAGTGATAAAGGGATAACCCATCCTAAATATCCATCCAGAACACAGAGAAATACAAACTTGAAATAATGAAAATTAATTTATAAAACATTATGTATTGATTATTCTAATGGTATTTATGTTAATATATTAATACTCTACTTCGTTGCTCTATTTAAAACAATATTTTAAGTTTATGTCTGCACAATAATTATATATCTAGTCTGTCTTATTTGGTGAGTCTAACAAAACTCCTACTCAAGATTTGAATTTTCGATCTGGAACAACTACAGATTAGTCTAATTCAGAGGAATTTGCCTAAATTCATTATTCATAGAAGTTATTGCCATCAATAATCACCCTAATCAAAACAGTTTATGAAATTTAATTTTTTCCTTACCAAGGGAGATAAATGGATATCTGTCATGGTATGTAGTCCGACTAAGAAAATATGTACATTCCTGATGCATAACCGAGTAAAATATATGAAATGGAGAAAACGGACGAAAGTTGTGTTGGAAACAGTAGTGACAAAATATTTAATGAGAATGTTTACCATTCAGATGTGTTTTTCTCAAATAGTTAGACTGAATCAAGGACTATGTGTCTTTACCCTAGATTAACAATATGATTTACCGTGTTTTACATACACTTGTATAAGATTTTCAAGTCCAAATAATTTTCACCTAAAAAGATCGAATAATTTTAGGTTGTTTTTTAATGGTTGAGATCATGAATCAATTAAAGCTAGACCACCATAGAAAACCTGAAGGCACTAGACGGCCGTTTCGTCTTTAAATTGCATCGTCCGAAGTCACTGTGAGATACATTAACACTGAGTCATTTAAACGATGGATTATATGGCCACGAATAGTACGAGAAGCACCAGTTACTTCGTGATCGCTGATGAGATTAAACTGTCACAAAACCCAAATCCAGATATTCTCAATGATCTCCTTTCGACCATCTTATGCAAAAAGTGGACCGCAAAGTCAAGTCACCTAGGCCAGTTATCATGCGACATCTTGATCAACAGCATTTGATTAACAGTAAGCACTAGATGATGTAATTCCATTGCTACGTGTTTAAGATGGTTTCTTATCTATAACTTTAATTCATGTTGACATATCGTAGAAACAAATGTTTTACATATTTGGAAATATGAAAGTTTAACACTGATCTTACTGATACTGTGTCCGCTGAACGTGGGTCATAACTACTCAGTTTGCCACAATTATCAGACAATATAGAATTTTGGTCTTGTGCCGTTATCACTGATACTGTTTCTATCTGAGCACCCGGCTTGTGAAATAATGTTGGTTTACAAAGTATTTTATTATTCAATTCATCGGACAACTGGTCACTAGTAATCTGGCTTGATTGAATCAATGTACGAGAGCGCAAAGAATGCGGATAATCAACAGACATAGTAGTGATATTATGACATGATGATTGAGGATTTGAAGATGAAGAGATTTTCGGAACATGCATATCATGCATATGATAACGACATTGCAAATCATTCAATGTTGGCCAATTCCATGCTGAATTAATTAATAGCCCACATGGAGATCTATTATGTTATAAGAAATAGATAGTTTAGTTTATAATATTACGAAGTAAAAAATATGTGCCTAAAACACGCAATCATTCCAACATAATGGTTCTTCAAATGATTTTGTAAGTGAACAATAAAATAAGATAATAATGTATTTCAGCCACTAAATGGGAGTTTTTTACTAATAACCTGAGAAAGAATATTGTTCTGAGCATCTAAATGGAAAAATTGAATAAAATACTTTTATACGTTCAGTATTATGTTTTTCAGTCTTTTTTAGTAAATGTTGAGTAAAAATAATATTTGATCTTATTCATTCACTGTTATTCGACTGTTTTACAAATAACACAACCATCTTGTTCTTTAAAGTTAAACGTATCAGCAATACATAGTTGTAACATTGCTAAAAAGAAAAAATATAACTATACTAAATGGCCGCTGAGTATCTTTTTCATTTTTATGTCAGTTAGGAGGTATACCATAACTAATAAAAAAAGCTGATTACATGTGGCTTTTTAGGGTAGTTAGGCTGTGACTAGCAGTGAAATTTATAACACACACTTCTTCCTACTTAGGATTCGTCAGCCGAATGCACATAGGTTTAATGTGGTAAAATGATAAATTTTAGATAACCCTCATAAGATGCATATGTGCCAAGACGGAGTGATCGAAACTCAGTCCTGAATATCACTAACGGTTAACTTCAAAGCCTTATCAGTGACATTACACATATATGAGTTTAATATGGGTACACACTGATTATACGGATAGCAAGATACACAGAATATATCATGTAAAGATCACAAGGTAGGACTTATTGATAGAGATATGAGAAAATGATATCACACAATAATTTAAAATGCAATGGCACAAAATGATAGTATTCCTTTACTAAATATTGTACCTAAAATCCCTACCATGTAATTGAAAGAGTTTCTTGCCAATATTTGATAAAAATAAGTGAATCCAACTCAGTACTGTCTAATCAATGTTTAGTCTCTCTCATTAGCATCACTAATATATTATTTCGATTCTTTTGTTATTCATCTTGCCAACTTCCCTTCCTCGTTCTGATATGCTAAGGCAACTGGGTTTAGCGCTTGATTGCGTCAGATAATACACTATTTATGGCGGACTGATTCGGAGATTGAAGATTTGATAAACAAGGTTTTGGATTGTTAAGTAAATGAATATAATACTAACTTATTGATAATATTCAATGATATGATGTGAGTGACAGCTGATAACAAGACCAGTTTATTGATGTAACTAATCAGTTGCATTGTTATTACAACACAAGACAACTGGCCAATAGAATGGGCTCTTTATATCACAAAATAAGTTTTTTTCATTCCGTCTTAATGTGAAATCAAACGTGATCAGGTGTTTTAAATGATTGAACAATATCAGTTTTGAAGCTCCAACACCGTTCAACAAGCTAAAGTTTTGAACGTCGTATCAGTCACTGGCCAGATACAAATTCGTGCATATGGCTTTACGTTGTAAACTTTGTGTAAAGAGTAGTAATGCTAGTCAGCTAACAGAAACCGAAGTACATGTAGTAAAATCCGAAATTAAAATTCAGTGATTAAAATTAAAGTGGCTTAAACCAACATAGTACATCTTAAAGGTTATAGACAATAAATAATTGACACGATAAAAAACAAGTTGTTTCAACGTATTAAATCTTACTTTTTAGGGTAAACAAACCATCCTAAAATTATAACTGTAATGCAGCTTGGTATTAAGGATATTGCAGCTATACCATATGACCAAGATAATGAGTTCTGATCAAGATCTTCTAACCAAGGATGTTTTGCAGCCCTTTCAATTTTCCGTTCAGTGTCTACTCCTACACCCATTGTGACCAAACTAACTAAAGTTGAAAAACCTGAAATGAAATGGATAAGCATTGCAGGATATGATATACCAAGCAGTAACTTAGTTGATTGGAGTACGACCATCATGAAATTGATCGGCTGTGATATGTAATCATATTATGAGCGGAAGTTTTTATATGACTCAGTTAATTAGTTATATCTGTTAGTTTTAGATGCTTAATTGCATCATATGGTAAATGTGTATTCATATCGTAAGTTATTGAAAATTTATGTTAAATAATACTCAGTTCTATTGTATGAGATTGAAACTTGGAGGACTACTACAATCATCACCAAGAATGTACAGGTATTTATAAACCATTGTCAACTCAAGATACTCAATGTCCATTGACTGGATACCATCAGCAACAACCTACTGTGAAATAGAACAAATCAGGCTGAAAAAGAAATTAGGAGAAGACGCAGGAGGTAGGTAGGGATGTATTAGTAAATAAATCCTCAAAATAAATAGCTCTGTAAGTCTTTGACATTGATGCTGACCTCACTAGTTGTACCAGACACACCCTAGTTGAATGCTCTCGGTTGAGTATCTGCATCAGATCACGAGTGAGTACGCCATGTTACACATCCTTTTGAACTACTGGCCAGCTTAGACCAAACGCTTCTCGACATACCGATAGCTTGCTAAATATATCTTCTGACTCTTCCATTTGTGACTTTTGATTTGACTGGGTTGATTTACTTCTATCATAAAGGTGTTACGTGTAAAGACGTTCTCAAGCTCCGAATACCTATAGGATTCTTTAGGACATACATTGCGAAAATCATCAGACTATATCGAAAGGCAAGCCTTAATTTGGAATATCGAAGACAAAAGGAAAGGAAAGAAACAAGAACACAATGCGCCGCGAATTGAAAGAGGATATCGAAAGAATGAATAGCAACTGGAAACAGTTAGAAAAGAGAACCTGGTCAGTGGTCTATGCTTTTTCACATGGGGTAACAGAAGTAAATAAGTAAGTAATACCCAGTTTCATTTACACAAATCTGATCGTAATTAAACCATGTAAAAAGTTGTATATTTCTACATTATTCTGATTTACTTCGAGAGTCAAATAAATCTGTACCATACGTGTTTTGTTTTTACTACGCTTTATATTTTAAGTACTGGTACAGCACGGCGTTAAAACACCCATTAAAGACTATTTAGTATTATTTCTGGAAGTGTTTTACTGTGTTACTTTTCAGTATTATACAATCAAATGCTGACGCTAAGTATAATATAACGGTTAAATGAAATAGCAATCAAGTCATAGCGATTATTGGCACATAAAATTGAATTCATAATCCAATAAGAAACTGGATACCGTATCAGGAATACTCCGAATCGAATTCAACGAGTAAGTTCTTGAAACACAAATGAAAATGCAATTCAAACTTACAGTTAACTGATAGAGTCACCATTATACACAAGACTGCACGTGACCCGAAAATCGAAACCAAGCCGAGAACTTGAGTCAGAATAACACATTCTGCCAATACATGGGTTGCAAAACTGCATGTAAAAAATGCTTGACAAGCAATAAACCAATCTTTAAAGTGACAAATTTAATTATAATTCAGCTTTATACCTCTAAATATGATCGGCCACAGTGTCAAAATTTTCGTGTCAAATAAATAGAAACATCCGAAATACATGTAGTTTCCAGTTTTCTTCGCCATATAGCCTTCGAAACACACCTCCCATAGCCCCAGTCTTACAAAGCGATTTTGAGACTGAGGATATCTGGCATACCAGTAAGGCATAACCATTGAGACGAAACCACATGTGAAACCAAATGTAGTAAATGTGAAACATGTCCAAAACAAAGGAACTTTGTAATGAACTTCCATCTTGTTAAGTGTACTTCAACTCATCAACCCATATCTTAGAAACTGTGAATCATTTACCCACGTTTACTGGATCATATTAAACTTTATCAAAATGACAGATTAAAACAACATCAAAATGAGTATTAACTGCAAGCAATCCTAGGATACTTTGCCGGTATGATTGATTTTTATAACTGTTATACGTACAAAAGGCCACATATGTCTACGAATAGAAAGAAATGAGAGTTAAATTAATATAAACGGAATGACATGATGATTTCAAACGGTTTAATGAGAATGATGGCTTTTCAGCCACTTCTTGTTGCTTCAGTATGGTTCTGAGTATTTAATGATTCTTATTACGTGTAGCCTAATCATGGGCTTTGATATTTTCAGTCATTTAGAGTGTTGCTTGTAGGTTTCTATATTTTGTATTCGGAGTGCATTTGTCTCAGGGTAGTGGGATTCGTAGAACCAAAAGTCATGGCATTGACAGGTAGGAGATAGGTTAGCTACGATTTGAGAAACAATTTAAATTTGGGTGGACCAATAGATTTTTGTTATCATAAGCAAATGAATAAGTTAGTTAATCACCCCTTAAGTGTGCGAATGGAATTATCAATGCAATAAGTAAACGGATATGATAGTGAATGAGATAGGAATAGTCTGATAATATGTTGTAGTGTGTCACCGATTCGCGTTTGACAATGGTCACCACCACAGAAAGACTACGTTACAGTTAATAGGTTAGATTCCCCCGTAGGCCAAATATCAGAAGGCGGTTGAAGGCTGTAGTTGAGATGTATTTGTTGGCGACCTCGTGGTATCAAAATAATACCTAGATCGTGTCAAAATCTACTAGCGATACTACTGAGTGTACAAGAGCTCGTGCAAGGTCACAAACAACAGAAGGAGGTGGTTTTTGGCACACTGAAACAAACAGGAACAGTAAAACAATCAGTGGTACAATTGGCTATAATAATTGTTTCCATTATACCAATCGCGTTCTCTTGATAAAAGTAGATCACTACAGGAGCCCCCCGCTAGAAATGGTTTACACTTTTAATACGTAGCGGTTTCATTTGTGGGACAGGTCAGCAAACGTGCGATTGTGGGACGAAAGGGTTGGCAGATCAGCGATCGTAGAACGGTAACAGGAGAAGCGTGCTGCATTTGTTGCTCGAGTTGGCGTCCCACACCAGAGTGGTTTGTATCCAGGATCTGAGGATTGCGTTCGTAGGGGTGCGGACCAGAAAACACTGCAAACTTAGGACGGAACCATATCGACCCAAGGCGACAGCTGGCCTGATCACCCATGTTATTGTCAACACACTAAGTCGATATTCTGGTTTCGAATCTATCTGGCATATGTTTGCTCTCACAATTGGTCGTTGGCTGAAGTCGACGTTACCAAACGGGCGATGGTCGTAGGCGTGGGCTCAGGATACAAAAAAATTTAAAAGAAGAGAAAAGGTGTGGCATGCATGTAGTATAGGGATAGAGTCATACACCGTGTCTGTTGTTGATTGAGAGGTTATTCGCAAAAGCGTACGGGTAGGCGTACCCGACGACCAGAACGTCAGGCGGTAATCTCGCTTGTACCTCGTGAGCCTGCGTTCTTATCCGAAGTCAAGAGCGGTGTGGTCTGCTGATCTGGAAGTGAGACTGAAGTCTCGTCTGTAGATGGTGCAGATGGCACGCGCTGTTGACTGGGACGTGAGAATGAGGTCTCTGATGTATCTAGCGTGGGATACGAAGTAGGTGTAGGGATCCCGCTAGTAGTTTTGGTGGGTCTAACATTGGATCTCAAGTTATCAAAAAAAGCACTGTCATCGTGTGCTGGCTTGAGACGATCAATGCTGACGATCTCTACGCGGCCATGTCGATCAACCTTGAAGGTCTTTTCGTGACGAGAAATCACGTGAAAAGGTCATTCGTACGGCTGTTGCAGAGGGTTGCGTACCACATCTACTCGTATTAAAACATGTGAACAGTTAGATAACTTTTGAGAGAGAGTGACACCGGGGGCAGTATTCGTTGGACGTAGCCTGATTTACCAAAACCGTTACTGCTTTGTGGTGTGAAAAATTCCACAGGCAGACGCAGCTACGTGCCTGTGCACTTTTGATCGCTGACATTTAAGCGTTGTTTTACCCACATACGAACATGTTTATTCATGGACGGCCAGACGTATCGTGAAGCGCTGGGGTGTAATGTAGCTGCAATACCTGGATGAGACAGTCCATCCAGGGCGTCGAAGACGAGACGACGGTATGCAGAGGGTACAATGGGCCGGGGAAAACCGGTAGAAGTATCACATAGGATAGTATCTGAGCTGGTAGCTAAGGGTACTTCCTAGCACTGAAGGGATGTAGATTGTGGTGCTTCTGTACAAAAAGGATCTTTTCCTTGAGTGGCAGCCTAGCGGGAAGATCGAGCACCGGTGAAGTAACTGCGTTCACTTGGATACGTGACAGATCATCAGCAACATGGTTGGACTCGCCTTTAATGTGACAAAGGTCTGTCGTGAACTGGGTGGTGAGAAGCGGTCAGACTTGGTATGCAGGGCATATGTTAAAGGCTCGTGGTCGGGGAATAAAATGAAATCCCGACCTTCTACTGCGTGTCGGAAATGTTTGATGGCACAGTAGGCTGCTAGCAGTTCTCGACCAAAAGTGCTATATCTCGTCTCCGTGTGAGTAAGGCGTCGTGAGAAAAATTCGAGCGGTTGCCAACTTACGGAGATGTTCTGTTGCATAACGACTCCTATAGCGAAATCCGATGCGTCAAACGCTATACTAAGCGTGGCTGATGGGTCAGGATGAGAAAGAAATGTAACTTGAGCCAGAGCCGTTTTGACATCTGAAAATGCAGTACGTGTGACATCGCCCAGATCTAATTTGCGCGGATCACCGCGAAGTAAATCGTTTAATGGTCGTAAGCGTTCTGCCGCGTGTGGGATGAAACGTCGATAAAAGTTAATCAAACCGAGAAAAGCCTTCAGTTTCTTGAGCGATGCCGTGATGTCGTGTATGTGGGGGATGGGATGGCCATCAAAGCGTGTAACTACATCTAATGTTCGGTAGTCGCCACAAGATCTCCAACTAACCTCATCCTTTTTGCGCACCATGTAAAGAGGTGAGACCCAGGGACTGTGAGGAGGACGAATAATACCAGTAGCTAGTAAATTGTCAATATCACGTTTAGCGAAGGCTAACTTGTCCGTCACCAGTCGGCGTGGTCTCGCCGTGACTATGTGGTGTACCACACGATCGGTCACCGATGAAATATTCTCAAGTGCTTCAGTTAATTTGGGGAATTTCTCGAATAAAGCGTGGAATGTATCGTCACATGGGCGAAAGACTCCTAAGATTTGGCACGCATACATCGGAGTCTGTTATATAATTGCTATTTTTATCGTTATCCGTCATCACAAGTTGTTGCCAGAATATTACTTATTGAAAAACATCAATATGAAAGTGTGCAACAGATGTGAATAGATAAGTAGTAGACTCAATGCAATCGGTTTCTTTGAAAGATTTGATAGTTGTAGTATGGCGCCGAGTCGCGCTTGACTGTGGTCACGACTACAGGAAGACTATATGCCAGTTAGCAAGTTAGATTCCCCCGTAGGCCAAATATCAGAAGACAGTTAATGGCTGTAGCTGAAATGTATTTGTTGGTGATCTCGTGGTATCGAAATAACACCGAGATCGTGTCAAGTTACAAGTGTGGCTACTGAGCTTAACCGAATTCGTGCAAGGTCACAGCCAACGGAAGGAAGAATGTCTTTAGTACAGTTAAACAGACAAGCACATTGAAACAATCACTGGTATAATTGGTTATAATAATATTTGTTTCCGTTATGCCGATCACGTTCTCATGATAAAAGTAGGTCACTACAATGTAGTGGTGATAATGACAGGCATCTGATACTTTGTCAAAACGGGAGATGGGAATTCATGGTTGAGTACATGTTTTTCAGGTCTCCTCTTGAAACTATCCATTCAGTGGGTTGAGTATGATTCAACTGAGACGTCACTCCAAATGTGTAGAAGTAGAACATTTTGTTAAATTACGGCTCCTTATGGTCTAGTAGAATGTCACGAACTAACGGTATTGATGCTGATTTATCATGCGAAATACCTCATTAAATCGTGTTTAGAACGTTAAATTGGTTTCACTTCCTACCCAGTAATCCTATTACAAGCAAACTAGACAATTCGCTAAGAAACGAAGCCCACTCTAGACCCTATAAAATCTAAAAAAGGCTCCAATATCGTCGACAAAAAAGGGGAGACAGCCGTTTGTGTATCATAACACTGTTTTTAGCACTATATTTTATAACTACATATTCTAATACTCTCAGTTTCTTTCTGAACCACCTCCATTTGTCAGTTGATTATCCACTCATACCTTGTCTTTAACTTATTAGGATGCTCCTGCTTACTAGATACTCTAATAAAAGAGAATCAGACTGAGTAGTCATACCTTAGCTATTTCTTTATGAACACTGTCTACTCTGCTTCTCGTCCTTTTTTGATTTTCTTTTTTCTTGCACCGTTTTTCAGCCCCCTTGAGATACGGAACGGGTAACCTCGTCCTGCATCATCCTTAAAGCCTCAAATATTCCAATGGGATATAAGATTGCGATGTCTAGAAGCCCTCAACTGCACATGAATCTATTATCGACCAACAGCTGCACGTCGCAACGCAACTTTCATGAAGCGCGCCAACTGTGATATTGACGAAAGCCATTCTACATTCATATCTTATAAATTATCGACCCAGCTAAGTAATTGTATCATTCGTAACGATTTAATCTTGCCTGTAAACCGGCATGCCTCATGTAGCAAACTGTCATTTGAGAATAAATTATTGTTATTATTATTATTACCAGGAAGAATTAGGATGTCGGCCAATTTTCGACTTTTTGTGCGAAGTCTTTTAGGAGTTACCTTACGAATCACGGTGGTAATATTTTGGTGTGACGTTCCTGTTGAAGTCATTTGGGGTATTGA